TAGCTCTTATTTATCTCCTGATGAAGCAGATTTCTACCTGGAAAACGCATTGAGAATCGGTTGTAACCGATATAAGCCGAGCAGGAGGTGTTTTGTGGGGCACTAAGTGGTTACTATGTCAGAGATTGTGAATAATGCAAAGAGAAGTGTTGTGTAATGGCAATAAATACTGGCTAACATGCTTTTAAAGGTACGTCAATAAAAACCTGTAAAGTAAAATAATAATAATAATATATTTTGTAAATATCTAATTTTTCAATATATTACTGTATTTTGTTCCATTTTGCTACATGTCTCTCTCCTCTTCTCTCCCCCCCAGCGGTGATGGCGGTCCTGGCGGGGGACTCAGATCGCGACCCCCCCTGTTCACTTGCGGCACCCCATATGGGGTCGCGGCCCAAACTTTAAGAAGCACTGCTCTAAAGCACAGTGAGGGGAATTTCTCAAAACTGGAGCAGGCAAAATCTGGAGCAGTTGCCCATAGTAACCAATAAGCATCTCTCCTTAGTTTGATCTGGTGAGATTTGAAAATGAGAAACAGAAGCTGATTGGTTGCAGTGCCGATCTGCTCCAGATTTTGTCTGCACCAGTGTTGATAAAGTCCCCGCAGTGTATCATAAGCAATTACCATTTCTTCATCAAATACTTTTTTCATCCTCTTTTTAATCTCTTTGCTGCCGATCCCCTCCAGCCTCTCTAAACCACTTCCTGTCTCTATGCAGCTACTCCACCATCTCCTGCCCATCATCACTCTGGACTCACTCTGAGATTTTATTGGGTTTAGCTCAACTTTGAAGAGCACTTATGATGGGCTACCGGTAGTCTTATAGAAAATGAGATACAACTGAGGTAGGCAACCTCGGCATTCCAGCTGTTTGTGGAATTACAAGTCCCATGAGGCATTGCAAGACTGACGGCCACAGGCATGGCTCTCAGAGTCAGAAGAATAATGGGATTTGTAGTTTCAGAACAGCTGGAGTGCCTATCCCTTCTGTAAATAAAGCAGCACACCACTTCAAAAGGGGAAGCCTGGCTTGCATTTTCAGTACCCGCTATTCACCCCCTAACTGATGACAGTTGTTGAATCCTTCATATAGGCTTTGCGACGCGCTGACCCAGATCTTAAAGGCAACGTTTGAACTGCGTTTCAATGCAGGTCCCATTCACACTGTAGCGTTGCGTTAATCAGATGATACTGAACGATTAATGCACGCTATCGCACAGCGCACGTTGCTATCGTACAGCGTTACTTTTAGATTGTAAGCCCTCACGGGCAGGGCCCTCCTTACCATCTTGTCTTAAATTGTATTGTGACTGTAATGTCTTCCTTATATTGTAAAGCGCTGTGCAAACTATTGGCGCTATATAAATCCTGTATAATAAAAATACTGTGCACTAGGTGTGTTGCATTGTGATTCATTTGAATGGCATCCCCAACGCACCTCCCTGCCACTGTGCACTGGAATGCATGGATCCACAATACCATACTGCAATGCTATGCATGCTTGATGTGCTATGTTGCAGCGCACAATGGCTCGGAGGTGTGTTGGGGTGCCATTCAAATGAATGGCAACGCAATGCACCTAGTGTGCGTTAATGGAACGGTATTGTGCGATAAACCCAACACTATGGTGTGAATGGACCCTTAAGGTAAACCGTACCGCACCACAACGCAGTAGCAACAGCAGTAGCTATGACCTATGTCATTCCGGCAGCACTGGTTCAGACCAGGACCCACATAGCATTGCATTAATCACATGATACCATGTATCAGTATCGCACAGGGCACCTGGCGTGCATTGCTGTGCACTAGGTGTTGCATTTGAATGGCACCTAAGCGCCGGGAGGTGCCCTAACTTCTGGAAGGGGAGTGTGCACTCTAAATTTAAACTCCTCAATACTCTCCTTGGGACTACATGTCCCACCATCTCTAGCAGCGTTGCCCATGTGCGCCCATTGTGTCGTCATTCTTTCTATGCCACTGGGCTGCCTGTGTGTGTGTCCTGCACAAGAAGCGGCTGCACGTATTCAGTGAGCGCACCCGTAAAGGTGGCTCCATAGGACCCTGCAAGCCAGCGAGCCATCCTTACAATGGAAGTCAGGGACAGTGGGAAAAGGAAGGATAGAAAACCATGAACTGCAGAAGAAGCCGAAGACAAGGTACTTCCTACCCTCAGCATTTTAAATTTGGTTTCATAGAACTTTAACATGTTGAATGCTTGTTGGAGGTCAGTTACACAGAAAACATTGAAGACAGAGGATCAGCATGGCAGAGAGGCAACTAAAAAGGTCAGCAATGGCAGCCCATGGATCTCTCTCACAAAACGATTTGATTTACTGATATTCCTGCAAATGTGCCACTCGTGTCCAATAAACAGATTAATTTTCAGATATTCCATTTGTTGTTTTTTTTATGTTTTCCATTCATTGGCACATCATCCGCTTCTTCCTCTGACCCTTGTGCTCTCGGCATTAAATCCTAGGGTTAGCATTCAAATGTACTGCCAGCTATTCATGCTGAATTCATGCTGCTGAAACTTTCTTTGACTTCAAACTCCCTTGCCAGACACCTATATCTACCACTGCAGAACTACAAGTCCCAGAAGCTTGAACATTCTAATTCCATGCAACCCTGAGAGCCTACAAGTCCCACTGAAAGAGTCTCGGCTCTTGTGGAACCATAAGTCCCAGTAGGACAATATCTACAGTTGTAATATGTATGATTGGAGATGAAACCTACACTGTCCGTTTGTTTATAGTGTCTAGCCTCAGTGGAACTAAAAAACCCAGCATGCTGGAACTTGTAGTCTCACAAGCTTTACTGACTGATGCACTGACTGTGCTGGTATTCCAGGAATTAGATTCCATAGACAGTCAGCTCCATCAGATGTAAACTCTTTCCCTGTCTAGATTTGGCTAAAGCTCACAATACACGTTACATTCTGATAGTACAATCTGCGGTAGATCAACCAACAAATATGTAGTGCAAGCGCCGGCCTGACTGTATACAGGTTGGTTGGGTAGGTCCTCATATTACATAGATTTGGTAGATCTTAAGTTGATTGCACAGAGTTTGTAAGGTCAGATTGTACTGTGTAAGTAGTATAAGGTGCCCATACAGAATGATGACTGATTGTCCGATCTGGGCAACCATTTTGTTTTAACTTTTAGTAGTGAATGTCTATCGCTGTCCATGTGCCATTTGTAGTCATTGCCCCTCTCTTGCTATCCCAATGACATCTCATCATCCTGCAACACCTCAGAGCAGATTAAAGGATACTTATCTTTCACTATGCAAACTGAATGCTATGTTCCCAAAATCATGTGCAAACTGAAAAGCAAGATTCCGGCTTGCACACAATTGGATGAATGAAATGGACCCAGCATCCCCTTATTCCCAATGGCCAGTGAGAATTAACTTTGCAAAGTGAATGTTCTCAACCCCAGTGAATCCGGTGCATATCTGTGTATGTAAAAATGTGTACGATGCTGTGTGTGGAGATCCCAAGTAGTATAAGGTGCCCATATAGAGTGATGACTGAATTGTCCAATCTGGGCAACCGTAGTAAATGGCTATTGCTGCCCGTAGCCATTACCCCTCTCTTGCTTTCCCTATCACATCTCATCATCTTGCAACACATTAGAGCAGATTTAAAGGATAATATATCTTTCACTCTGCAAAGTGAATGTTAGTAAGGTGAATCTATGTTCCCAAAATCATGTGCAAACTGAAAAGCAAGATTTCGGCCTGCACATGATTGGATGAATGAAATTAACTCAGCATCTCCTTATTCCCAATGGCCGGTGAGCATTCACTTTTCAAAGTGAACAATCTCAACCCCAGTGAATCCGATGCATAGCCGTGTATGTATAAATGTGTATGCTGCCTTCAGAGCTTAATAGATTGTACAATCAGATTGCAACATGTGTGATTGTAAAGTCAGATTGAAATGTGTGTGGTGAGCCTAATTAGTATAAGCTGCCCGTATAGAGCGATGACTGATTGTCCAATCTGGGCAACCGTAGTAAACGGCTATTGCTGCCCGTGTGCTTTAGTAGCCATTACCCCTCTCTTGCTTTCCCTATGACATCTCGTCATCCTGCAACACATTAGGGCAGATTTAAAGGATTGTATATCTTTCACTCTGCTGTGCAAAGTGAATGTTAGTAAGGTGAATCTATGTTCCTAAAATCATGTGCAAACTGAACAGCAAGAATTCGGCTTGCACATGATTGGATGAATGAAATGAACCCAGCATCCCCTTATTCCCAATGACCAGTATCAGTATGCATTTACTTTGCAAAGTGAATGTTCTCAACCCCAGTGAATCCGGTGCATATCTGTGTATGTATAAATGTGTATAATGCTCTGTGTGATGAGCCTAAGTAGTATAAGGTGCCCGTATAGAGCGATGACTGATTGTCCAATCTGAGCAACCGTAGTAAACGGCTATCGCTGTCCGTGTGCCATTTGTAGCTATTACCCCTCTCTTGCTCTCCCCATGACATCTCGTCATCCTGCAACACATTACAGCAAATTTCTATATATCTTTCACTCTGCAAAGTGAATGTTAGTAAAGTGAATCTATGTTCATGTGCAAACTGAAAAGCAAGATTTCGTCTTGCACATGATTGGATGAATGGAATGATCCCAGCATCTCCTTATTCTCAATGGCCGGTGAGAATTCACTTTGCAAAGTGAACTTTCTCAACCCTAGTGAATCCGTTGCATATCTGTGTATATATATATATATAAATGTGTATGATGCCATCAGAGCTTAATAGATTGTACAATCAGATTGCAACATGAAGCTTTGTCTCTTTGCAGGGGACGCCCAATGAATGGAGAAAGAATGGTAAAAAGAGATCCATTCAGATAGGGGAAAATATTCCCAAAATCGAGGATCTGTTGTATATGATTGATCACTCTCTCACTCACTCAATCGGTCGGTCGCCTCTCTAGATGCATGCATACACACAGGCAGATATCGTAGACTTACTGTGATGGATCTGCTGTACAAGGCATAGTGTGAGAAGCAGCACTGTTGCTCTGGCTTGTCCCCAGTCTCCGAGATTCTTCATGAGAGAGATACTGACAGCTCATCCCAGGTTCCCTTGTGTCTGGAGCAGCGGCAAGGCATATTGCTATGAGTGTTCTCTATGCATCCCTCTCCATAGATGACATCACTGAAATGGGGATCTCCAGCCCTTCAGGCACACAGCACCTGAACTGTGTGCTCTACCTGAGTCTGCCACCTCCTTATATACGGAGCTGCAGTCTACTGTCACAGGCGCTCTGGTTTAACCAGTTTGCATAGGCACGTCCTTTAAAAGAAACAGAAACACACAGACACACAGGGCGAATGCAGCAAGCTTGTTTACAGCACATGCTCGGATATTGATTTATGGTTTTTGCTGGCAGCAGTACAGAGGCACATCTACAAAGAGCTGAGTGAAGGCCGCTACACTTAGGTTGTAATGACATGCACTGTTCTGCCTAATGGGAGAATGCTTAGAGATATGCACCGGACATTTCTATGGCATAACCACCAAGTGCCCCTTTGTTCCGGAATCAAACTGTACTAAGTGCATGGAGCATGCATGGTAATGCGCATGCATAGGTGTGAACGGGCCCATAGGGTTTGCCTTTCACTTGCATGCTAAGCTGCAGCCACATAGGAAAGGACGGGAGCTGAAATGCATTTTAATGCAGCAAAATGCATGAGTTTTGCTGCAGGAAAACGGTCCTAGAGGCGCACCCCAGTCAAAGTTGGGAATGAAAGAGTGCAGTGGGTTAGTGGTTGCAGCGCTGGCTGGTCCCTGGTTTGAGTCCCGGTCAGGACACTGTCTGCAAGGAGTTTACATTTTCTTCCTGGGCTTGTATGGGTTTCCTCCCACACTCCAAAGACATGATGGAAGATATATTGGGCCTAGTGTGTATGTGCAATAGGAACCTTAGATTGTAAGCTCCTCGAGGGCGGGGTCTGATGTGAATGTCAAGCACTGCATAAGTTGTCAGCGCTATATAAGTGTCTGTAATAAATAAATAAAGAGGAACTCCGAGTATCAAAAAAATTAGCCCTTGCAGTGGGGCTATCCTTGCAGTGGGGCTATCCTTGCAGTGGGGCTATCCTTGCAGTGCAAGGGGTAAGTGTTCGTTTTGGTCTAGGGGCCGAAATTAAAAAAAAAATTTCACCCTCAATCCTGCTAGACCCATCCCTGCAGCCTTTTCTTTCCTGGGCTCCGATGGTCCAACCCCCTTTGATGTCATCACATCTAATACAGGTCCGTTCACTTGCATTAGACATGAAAATGCAGAGGGACTTAACATAGCTGGAGCAGATGGGGAGAGAAGTGAGCGCTCACTGGACAGGGCAGAGGATCACGTGAATATATCTTCTCTTTTCCAGCCCCTAGACCAAAATGTTCAGTTTACTCATTTGTATTGAGATTGTAGTCCATCCCGGCAGTGTGCTTGGAGCGGTGACTACTTTACAACACACACAGGGACCATGGGGAACAAAAGTAGCCACCCTCGAGAAGGAAGGACAGTGTCAGCACCAATTCAGAGATGATTTGTGGATCTCCAGCCGAGTGATACACAAATAAGATACATTTCTGTTAATAGGCTACTGCAATGCATTTGTAGGCCCCGTTCACACCCGGGTGGTTCAGCAGCAAGGATTCGCCGACATGAACGATCCCATACATTGCTATAGGGACCGTATGCAGTGCGTTCCAGCCACGTTTCGATCGGAACGCACTGCATCGCATTGTGGCCAGCTCACTTTTTTGCCGGGCAGGAGGAGGCGTGGCGGGCCATTGAAATTAATGGCGCCGTAGCCACGCCCTCCGGCCGCAATGCGATCGCCCGCAGGGGATCGCAGTGCACATTGTGCCTGCGGTCCGGTCAAAATAGCGCTTGCAGCATTTTTATCCCAACCGGAACGCACTGCAGGCACAATGAAAAAAGTAATTGATGAAGAAATGGTCATTGATTATGATACACTGCGTGGAATTTATCAAAACTGGAGCAGAAGAATCTGGAGCAGTTGCCCATGGCGACCAATCAGCTTCTCTCTTTCATTTTCAAATCTTAACTGAACAGGCTGAAGAGAGAAGCTGATTGGTTGCCATGGGCAACTGTTCCAGATTCTTCTGCTCCAGTTTTGATAAATTCCCCCCAATGTGCCTTGTGATCCCATGCGGGCGATCGCATTGCTGCCTCCAGCCCGGCAAAAAAGTGAGCCGGCCGCAATGCAGGCAGTGCGTTCCGGTCCGATTCTGACAGGAACGCACTGCCCTATGGTGTGAACGAACCCTACAGACAGACCCGGAGATAATGAGCGGAGGGGCTGCATGACTGGGGGGAGGAATAGTCCCTGGAGAAGGGATTAAATAAAGTGTGACTCAGTAGATCTTACCTGATTGGTGGTTGGGGGTCAGGTGTTGGGGAGGGGCCACATGGGATGGGCCTGCAAGAGCTGATGGCAAAATGGGGAGACATCAGCTAGTATGCTGCCCTCCCTGCTGGTGTCAGTATTTGTCCTCAAACTGGTTGGGGTGCGCCTGGGGGCATGGAAGCAGTTTTAGTTGAGGCCTTGTTAAGCTTCTGAGTTAACCAACCCCACGGACAATCACTCTCAGTCTGCTGGCCTTAGGTTGTTGTCCTGGAAGCTGGAAATTATATGTGCAGGGTGGGTCTGAGGGTCATCGTCACATTCTGATGGTGGCGGTGGATTTTGAGACTGGCGCAGTCGCAATGTGACTCTCTATGGTGGGCTCAGGTGGGCTGTGAAGCCCTCTTACCTGTCTGGACGATCCTCTGTCCGCCTCCTTCTCCTCCACAATTGCTTGCAGGCCCCACCTCCTCGATCTCCGGGCCCGCCTCCCCATCGCTAAGACCTGCCTCCTCGATTGCTGGGCCCCGCCTCCTTCATCGCTGCCGACGACGGGCCCAGCCACCTCCCCCGAAGCTGCTGGTTGTCATCGACTCAGCAGCTGTGAGGAGATACGCGCCGCTGCACATGTGAATGGCTGCGTGTTTCTCCTCACAGCCGCCAGTGACAGCCAGCAGCCTGGAATGCCATAGCGACCCAGGTGGCCCGCACGGCCGCAGAGGGATGTCCTGGCCGAGCCCCCCTGTGCCCAGGGGGCCCCATAGCTTATTTATATGCAAATGGTACCACCCATTCATACAGTATGTAAATATCACAGTTGAGGCTATTTTCTGTGGGGGGCCAGTAGCCCCTATCTTAATTTTGGTTGCCCCTGTCTGCCTGACATCTTGTGTCCGGGTTTCTGCTGCCATGAAACCCAGACACAGCACTCAAAACCCGGACTGTCCGGGTGAATCCTGGACAGGTGGCAACCCTATCTGCACCGCATGCATGGGGAATGTATACAAATAGAAGTTTCTGCAGAATGGAGTTGTGCTTTTATGATCCTATCTTTCTCAGAGCTGCCCCCCACCCCCCCGTAGATAGCTTCTCATTTTTCCAGATTTGATCCTATGTGATGTGTATGCAGAGGAATCCCTGTCTGTACAGAGCAGACTGGCTCCTGATATCACTGGCTGTTCTGTACAGTGCAACTCACAGGAATTTTGCGTGACAAGTCTGAAGTTTGATCTAGTCAGAAAAGAGACTAAGAAAATGGAATATGATTTTCTATCACATCATGGTCCTTGATGAAAATGATGGTAACGTTACAGTAAAAGCTGCAACGCGTTTCATGTTGCATTGGCAGGACTCCGACAGCCTCTGCACCCCACCCACACATTAGTGAGAAACACTGTGCTGTAATCACTGATGGGATTGCCGCTATGCCAGACCTAGTATAGGCAGCTGGCATGGACTCAACCCCTGCCAGCCTGATGGAACTATCACAACCTCTTCTACAAGTGACTGTTTAATGATCTGCTGACAGGCTAATGGCTGACTTGTCTGCTGCTCTAGTGTAAAGCAAGGTCTGGCATATTCAGGAGGAAACCAGCCGTCTGCAGCTTGAATGATCTGGTATACTGCAGCTTGACAGCGATATCCCTACTTCTGCAATCTACCTTTAATGCCACTATATTAGCTTTAGGAGATTGGTGCTGGTAGTTTTTGGTGCAGGGCTCCTGATGCAGAAAGCAATGTCCTACCATAAGGTCCCCTTGACGCTTGCCCTCTCTAAAACTAACCCCCACACTAACACTCCATATAACTCTAGCCCTCACACTAACCTTACCTGTAATACTAACACTAATCCTCACACTGACCTTACCTGTACCCCCAACACGAATCCTCACACTGACCTTACCTGTACCCCAACACTAATCTTCACACTGACCTTACCTGTACCATCAACACTAATCCTCACACTGACCTTACCTGTACCCCAACACTAATCTTCACACTGACCTTACCTGTACCATCAACACTAATCCTCACACTGACCTTACCGGTACCCCAACACTAATCCTCACACTGACCTTACCTGTACCCCCCAACACTAATACTCACACTGACCTTACCTGTACCATCAACACTTATCCTCACACTGACCTTCCCTGTACCCCCAACACTAATATTTACACTAACCTTACCTGTACCCCAAGACTAATCCTCACACTAACCTTACCTGTACCCCCAACACTAATCCTCCCTATAACCCTAACGCTAGCCCTCATACTAATCTTCTCTGTAATCCTAAAACTAACCCCCACACTAACCTTCCCTATAAGGCTGGGCACACACCTTACAACCATCGCAAGACTATTGTCTTGTGATGGTTGTAAGGTACTTAAAAAAAACGTACGATCTGCCTATGTTGCATAGGCAGATCGTACTTGCGATGATTGCAAGCCACCCCCCCTGAGGGGCGGGCTTCCGATGACCGCAATGCCGAACGGGCAGTGTGTGCTTGCGCACACCGGCCCGTACGGCTGTTATCGTACGGACATGCTACAAACCCGCCGAACGTCGTATGATGCTTGGCGGGTTTTCAAACATGTCAGTAAGTTAAAAGTCATGCGACCTTACAGTAGTAGAGGTCGCACGGCTTCCACACACCTTATGATAATCGTACGATCGCGGGATTTCCCGCGATTATCGTACGATTATCGTAAGGTGTGTGGGGACCTTAACTCTAGCCCTCACACTAACCTTAACCTGTAATCCTAACACTAATCCTCACAAAAACATTACCTGTACCCCCAACACTAATCCTCACACTGACCTTACCTGTACCCCCAACACTAATCCTCACACTGACCTTACCTGTGCCCCAACACTATTCCTCACACTGACCTTACCTGCAACCCTAACACTAATCCTCACACTAACCTTAACTGTACCCCAATACTAATCGTCACACTGACCTTACCTGTACCATCAACACTAATCCTCACAC